GGTTCTTGGCTTTTGCTGACTAAGAGGGAAGCAAGGTATATAAAGGGGAAACTGCCCACTGCCAAACAAAAAGATTAGTAGGATTAAGTGTTTTTTCATAAAAGACGTTGATGAAAAGGAGGCATGCACTACTGGAATCGCCCTATACGCCGAGTGCCATGGACACTCGTCAAAGAGTCAATAACCGCCGGCAACACCTTTGCTGAGAGTTGCATTGTACGTATTCTTAATAATGAAGACCGAAGCTTAATGCGGTTGGACTATTGAACTATTTAAACATGTCATTTTGCTTGTCGGTAGGCGAGGTGGGACTAAATCTTTGCCGAGAGCAACTCTCGGTAAAGAGTTGTAACCGTGACCGTGCCGTTAGTCGCCGCCGGATGTGCCACATGGCAAATCTTTGCCGTGTGGTGGCCAGATGGCCCTCGGCAAATAGTGCCTTTGCCGAGTAGAGCCTGTTTGCCGAGGCCTACTCTCGGCATTATCATGTGTTTGCCGAGATACTCCCTTTGCCGAGTGCTACTCTCGGCATTCATTACTTTGCCGAGTGCCCGTGGGTTGGCTCTTGGCGAAGACCCTGACACCCGGCGTCTACGAAAATTCCAGTAGTGATGACTTTTGAACGTTCGCTCTGAGAACAGTGGGTTGACCATAGTAGGATTCTGGAATGTCTTTGAGGCAAAATAATTGCCAGGGGGCAAGCTTTTCAACATGAGCCGATTGTCATCAATGTACAGATCATGGGGAATTCAATGTTTTGGATTGTGAAAGGGAGGTTGAGCAAGTTCCATTGATAAGTTTTATTAGCAATGGGTTGGAGGTCAGTCAGTGACGAAGAGGAGATGTGAGAGGGTTTTACCTTGTATGATCCCACGATGACAATGAAATTTCTTTCCAAGGACGCTATTAAGAAGCGGAAAAGATGTATACCCATGGAAAGGATGGAGTTATGCCCACCAAAGCCCAGATGTTCTAAAACCCCGACGATAGTGTTGTGCTCAATGTGTCATGAGGCCTTTCCAGAATCAAGTTTAAGCACGATAGTTTCCTTTTTTTGTTGTTGCTGGATACAAACGAGGGATGGTCCTGCCATCTGCCGGCAAGGAGTGTAGTGACGAGCTTAAGGCTGGAATTCATGAGGAAAATGGAGATGTTATAATTGGTGACTTCTGGGGAGAGAACAACATAGATTTCTCTCGCAAGAAAAACAACAACATATATTTCATGATATGGTCAATTTTTTATAGGAAAAGACAAACCCTAAACGTTCGGGTTTTACCCATGGCAAATCGAATGTTTTTTATGGCAATTTTAGTTGACGCAAGGATGCCAAGCTTAGCTGGCTTGCATGAAATATTTTCTTGAA